TATTATAAAATACTAACTATCACAGATTTGTAACATAGAGTGTTAGTTGTCACAGACTTCTATTATAAAATACTAACTATCACAGACTTGTAGCATAGAGTATTAGCTGTCACAGTCTTCTATTATAAAATACTAACTATCACACACTTGTAACATAGAGTATTAGCTGTCACAGTCTTCTATTATAAAATACTATCACAGACTTGTAACATAGAGTATTAGCTGTCAGAGTCTTCCATTATAAAATACTAACTATCAAAATCTTGTAACATAGAGTATTAGCTGTCACAGTCTTCCATTATAAAATACTAACTGTCACAAACTTGTAACAAAGAGTACTAGCTGTCACAGACTTCTATTATAAAATACTAACTATCACAAACTTGTAACATATAGCATTAGTTGTCACAGTATGCTATTATAAAATACTAACTCTCACAGACTTGTAACATATAGTATTAGCTCTGTGATAGTTAGTATTTTATAATAGAAGTCTGTGACACCTAACACTCTATGTTACAAGTTTGTGACAGTTAGATTATAAAATATAGTATTTTATAATAGAAGATTGGTATAGCTAATACTCTATGTTACAAGTCTGTGATACTTAGTATTTTATAATGGAAGATTGTGACAACTAATACTCCATGTTACAAGTCTGTGATAGTTGGTATGTTATAATAGAAGACTGTGACAGTTAATACTTAATGCTACAAGTATGTGATAGTTAGTATTTTTATAATAGAAGTCTGTGACAACTAATACTCTAAGCTATTGGTAAAAATACTAACTATCACAAAATAGAAAACTGTGACAACTAATACTCCATGTTACAAGTCTGTGATAGTTGGTATGTTATAATAGAAGACTGTGACAGCTAATACTCTATGCTACAAGTCTGTGGTAGTTGGTTATTTATAATAGAAGACTGTGACAGCTAATACTTTATGTTAAAAATCTGTGATAGTTAGTATTTTATAATAGAAGATTGTGACAGCTAATACTCTGTGCTACAGTTCTATGATAGTTAGTATTTTATAATAGAAGACTGTGACAGCTAATACTCTATGTTACAAGTCTGTGATAGTTAGTATTTTATAATATAAGACTGTGACAGCTAAAACTTTATACTACAAGTCTGTGATAGTTCGTATTTAACAATAGAAGATTGTGACAGCTAATACTCTATGTTACAAGTCTGTGATAGTATTTTTAGTATTTTATAATAGAAGACTGTGACAGCTAATACTCTATGCTACAAGTCTGTGATAGTTAGTATTTT